GAGGCGCCCCGGGGCCGGCGGCCCGGCGGTGGGGGAGGGCGGCCGCGCGGGCTCGCTCTCGCGCGCAGACCCGCCTCGGCCGCGCACGCGCACTGCGCCTCCCCGGGCGGCCCCGCACGGGTAGGCGCTGCGCACCCGCCGCTGGGGAAGCGCGCACGCGCACGGCCGCTCGGCGCGCTCCGTGCGTGCGTCGGGGAAAGGTTCTCGCTGCGCGTGCGCGCACTTCAGCGCGGCGCGAGCGGGTTCAGGCTGCGGCCGGCTGAGGGAGGGGGACTGCGCTTGCGCGCTGCGCTGAGCCGGGCGGGAGAGCGGCAGGGCGGAGTGTGCGCATGCGCGGAACTCACGTCACCGCCCTCTGCTGCACGGCGGGGTGGGCGTTGCGGCCGTGGTGCCGTTTGCTTCTCGTGTTCCTTCTCTTGCTAATGCTCAGGTTGGAAGCAAGCAAGCAACCAAAAGCACCTGTTTCCTTCTGTCACTGCGTGTGAATCCCTGGCGGCTTTGTAACTTAAATATGTTTTATGCAGGTCCTTGTAGCGTCATGTACTCTGAGTGAAAGCATTCCTAAGTACGATTTCAGGTCCAAGATGAATTTCTGTTTGGAATTACAGGGACATTCATAAGTTTGTGTTTCCCGGCACTCAGAGGAATTCATTGTCAGGGTAGAGCTCTGCCTCGTGAGGCTGTGTGGCTCAGCACTCTCAGTACCTCACGTCTTCTTGATGTCTGCAAATGTTGTAAATGACAACAAATGTGTATTTTTTTTTTCTTTCTGTTGCTGCTTCTCATTTTATATATTTTTTTTCCCAAAATCTTTGAAGCAGTCATGGCAGAACAGATGAGTAGCTGCTGGATACACTTGTTTTTGTTTCTCCAGACAGAGCTGTTAGTACAGGAGCATTCCCTCTTTTCTTGTGATACTCCTTGACACCAGGTATCCTTGGGCTGCCCGGAGAGCTTCCTGATTCCAGGTGCTGGATGGAGTTGTTATGGCCACCCATGGGGCACAGCTGTTCATGAAGCATACAGTTCATAAAGAGAATGCAGTACTGCTTCATAAGCCAACCTGGCATTAATTCTTCTGTGTTCCCCCCTCTCACTCATGCTTGCTCTTATCACAAGAAGGCAAAGATGGTAAATAGTTTTGGGAAAAGTCGCTGAACCGTTGTCTAAAGAAGTTCAGCCATAGAAATAACCTTGATTTCCTCTGATGAGGAGCAAGTGTGACAGGCTGAAATGTGTCAGTAGGGTTGTTCTTCCCGAGGCTCATATTCAGCAGCCTTGAAGAAACTGAAGGGCATTGCAGTACCCATCTTCATTCTTAGTGTTACGAGCTGTAGATCCCCAGGGCCTGGCTTCAGCACTCAGAGTGCATTTATGTCTCCCTAACCACTGCATTTAGAGAAGGGCTTCTACTGGTAATATATTTTTTTTTTCAATTAGTATTCAGTTTAGAAAGGGAACGAAGTCCAGCGTCTTTATCTCGGTGGGCTTATTGTAGATTGAGGAGTGGGAGATTACCGGGATGGAAAGCTGAATGATGTCTGTTGGCTTAGGGCTCATAACAATTGTGAAGGAAATTCAGCAAACCTAGTTTTGTATTTGTTGTAGATTGTTCCCAGCACTGTCACTTAAACATCAACATGCATGCCAAAGCTGCCTCATTTTATTAGCAGAGCAGGCAGATGTTGAATTGTACCAAACACGGCTTTGTTACCCCAAGCTCTTATTGAAGGTTCATGGGCTTTCTCTTTGCATACTGCTCAGCCCTAATTTCACAAATTTCACAGCATTCTTTTCTGAAACAAATTCTCATTTCAGTTTCAATGTGTTGCCCACCAGCTGGACGCCTGGTTTTCCAAAAAACTCCTACGTGTCTTCTCTAAGCTTGACGAGTCAAGATTAAAATTAAATTATGATAAGAATCCATGTGGATTTCTAACGTGGAGTCTGCAGTTCAAGATAAAGGTGAGAAATCTAAACAAACTGGTATACTTTGTAGGTACACAAATTGGGAAACAGAGATTACATCCTTTGGTGTTACAGATTGTCCTGAATAATACCAAATTCATTATGGAGACGTAAGAGCTGCTGATTCCCTTGATACTAATGTGGCTGAATTACTGCTAGGTAACGTCAGCGCTGAAGTTATCTCCAATTTGTGTGTATTTCTACTAACAGTCAGGGAACTCTGATATCAAAGAAAATGTAAGAATTAATATCTTGTTCTGTATAACTAAGAAAACTGATGCTAAACAGGTAATACTTCTCAAAGAAATTAGGAAGTCAAAAGGAGGAAACTAATGACTTGATCAGCAATTACCTTCATATCAGGTGGTTTTCTTCCTCTTGTTCTGTGTAATCTAAGGTCTTTGTGAGAATTTCTGTTTCCTGCCCTGCTATGAACAGCTCACGTGTCACATGAGATTTTGCTAAATATGCAATCCATATAGTTGAGATTTGTGGTTGTTTTTTTTTTTGTTTTTTTTTTTGTTTTTTTTTTTTCTGAAACAGAACCACAAGTAGTGGGAAAGTAACAGACACGGAAGTGTAATGTGGGCCATGCCAATTGCTTTGGGGCCCCAGGTCAAAATTAAATCAGCTCCTCAGAGCCCCACGCTGCCAGAATTCAAGAAGCTTTGGGACGATGCTTTCACACTTGGGATTTGGATTTTGGGGGGGTCCTGCGTGGAGCCAGGGTTTGGGCTCAGTGGTCTGTGTGGGTCCCTTCCAACTCTGCGTACCATGATTCTGTTTTTAGAGGTAGCATAAATCAGGTGGTGACTGAATCATCATGTGCGTCCTCGGGGGAGGTTGGAAGATTGATCTTAATGTTAGAAAGCAGATTTTTATGAGCTTTATTGGTTTGTTATTCAACCAATTCTTTTCAACAGCACAACATTCAAAGCAAGTCACTCCTTTGCCCAGCTTGAAAATAACTAAAATACAGATTCTGGGAGGTGCATAACTCTGGCAAAGCCTGACTTTGGTAGTAATGCACTTGACTGAGAATATAAAGTAAGAATTAGGAACAGAGGTAAAAATGTGATTACAAAATCATCTTTGATTTTTGAGCTGAAAAGAATGCAGTAAATTTTGCTTGTGCTTTTGAACCCTTAATGATTTTCTGTTTGCTCCATTAGATGTTCTGCAAGGACTAGGCCTATTTCTACTCTACTACTTTCCTCTGAAATTTCCAAAAATAGTAATTAAAAGCTTGGTAACTGCTAAGACTTCCCCCATCCACTTTATTGTCCTACAAGATTCTGGTATGGATTCTTCCATTCATTCTGCCTTATTTTGAAGTGAATATTTAACCCAACTTGTGGTGATGGCTTTTTTTTTTTTTTTTCCCCCTCTCCTCCTGAAGCACAAAGTCAGATGTGGGCTATTTCTGGACAGTGGATTGCATCGTCTCAGCTGGCTCCATTTTGTTTAACAAAATAAAGGGCCTATTTTGGAAATGTTGTGGTGGTAGGGCTTTACTTGCTGATTTCAGTAATTCTAATCAGAATAGATAACCAGGGGATTGTATGTTACTGGCTTGCCTAGAGCATATAACTAATGTGAAAATTCACTTTGCTTCTATGGAATCTCTTCTGTATTAATTTGTTTGCAATTTCCAATCTCAGGAATGATTTTAATGTGCCATGAAGCTGCACCTGGTCTAACACAGCCACTGAGCTGCTGCTGAAAAGGTTGCCTTGGCCCTTGGGCCTCCACCATAGCCCCACGTAGCTGTGGCTTCCCAGGCAGGGAGCTGGTCCGTGCTGCCTGTGACCTTTCTGTTTGTTTGTCGTTGTTCTTTGAGTCGGTCTCCAGTTCTGGTCCCTGATCTTTTTGACCTTGCAGCTGCGAAGTGCTGACACAGCAGGAGTACGAATGACCAGCCATAGTAGTGTAGGATTTGCTGAAGCCAGAGTCAGTGGGAACTCCTCATGCCAGACTGCAACCTGCATTCTTCTCTCAGATCATGTATCTCACTTTGGTAGAGGAAGGGACACATCTGCAATATTGCTGCAATGCTCTGTTTTGCCTAATGCTTTTTTTTTTTTCTTTATTTTAAGTGAAAGTGAAAGATTTTGACTTAAATTGGAAGTTCATGGATCTAGCAATACAATGTAATACTTTCTTAGGGAATTCTGTCAGTGGCGTTCCAAACATGTGGTGCTGGACTTGAGTCTGTCTCAAAGGAATGCTGACCGTAACAGTGTTGCTGTTTCAGGGGTTTTTGTTTATTTGTTTTTGAAAGGATGTGAAAGTTTTGGTGAAGGATTGCATAAGGAGAAGATGTCAGTGCTTAACATTATCACAAGCATAAATAAGTGCTTATGCATTCTGCGTTACAATTTGTATTCCAACTTTCAGAGTATCTTCTTTTATTTTTAGATGAATCTGCGTTCTGTATTTACTGTAGAACAGCAAAGGATATTACAGCGTTATTATGAAAATGGAATGACAAATCAAAGTAAAAATTGTTTTCAGCTCATATTGCAGTGTGCACAAGAAACAAAACTGGACTTCAGTGTAGTCAGGGTAAGTACTGAGGCTTTCCAAATTTGTGTGAGTTTGTAAGTTCCTTATTTTTAAGTTATACATGTTCATTCCTTCACACCAAATATCTTCAGAGAACTGGAGTGTCTTCCTGTGTGTCTGTAAGGCAGACTTCATACTTGTATGACGTGTGCATTTGTATCCAGTGAGCCTGTTTATAGACTGAAATGTCATGGCATGATTGCTGTGTTAAGCAGGTGCTTGGTGGCACAAGGAGTGTTTGTTTTGTTGTTGGTTGTGGTTTGTTTTCGTCTTTTTGTTTTTGTCTCTTGTTGATTTCTCTTGTTGGCTGCATTTTTTAAATTAAACTGCAAATGGAATTTCCCTATAGAAACTTAGTGCAGTGTATTGTACCAAAGAAAGGTCGTGTTGGTAGAAAACTATTCTTAAGGTAAAGCAGTTTCTATGACCTGATGTATTTTGGGGAAAAATATCACAGTTTTTCATAGAAAGCGCTGCCACATTGATGTTCCATGTCACACATTATTACTTACAGTGACTACATTGTTTTCTTACAGAAGAATGTCAGTAGTGCTAACAGGAGCTCTTCCAAAGTCTGTGAATCACATGGGAAAGGGAATAAGAATCCTTTTGTGAAACACTGAACAGTAAAATGGCTGTTGTCTTGTAGCAGAAATAGAAATCATGGAGCATAAATTGAAGGAATAACAGTGGTAGTGAAGCTAGCAGTAGGTGCTGCAGCACTGGGCACTGAGGAGGAGAAAGTGAGACCAGTTTAATGCTTCTTGGACGAGCCTGTGATATACAACAGCTGCTTCTGCCCCTTAATTCTTAACTAGATTCCCCTCTCTCAGAATACTCTGGAAATATTCAGGTTACTTTCTCAGCTCAGGATGCTCTGAAAGTCACCCATAAATTCTAACTCACAGATGGAGATTTGTAGCAGGAATCTGTTTGCTGATGGTATAGTTGTGCCTATTTTTCTATTTTTACTCTGATTCAAGGACCCAGAGGAGGCAGCCAGTCTCACCTCTGTTTGCACTCCTCATTCACTTTCCATCTTCCTATTACCATTCCCTTCTCTATTATCCTTACTGCAGTAATGTGTCACAGCCTTTTTCTTTAGTTGTCTTCTTTGCTGAGCCCTTCTTCACGTAACGTAAACTCTTCCTACTTGTGAACTGAAATGGAAACATACCATGTGTCCTGCATTTGTCTTACTTTTTTATGATCTTACCTTTCTCTTCTTCATACTTCTGCTTTTTGCCTCTCAGCAGCGTGCTGTTTTGTTTTTCTGTAAGACTTTTGGTCCAGGATTAGTGCTTCCTTGTATGCTGTCGAACAGAATGAAGTGTAGGTTGCAGCTGACGCTTGCAGATGTAAGAGGAACACAAATTTCCTAAATGTATATTATAATTCAAATTTCATAACTCTATAAATAAACTAATTCATTTCCCAAGTGAGGATTTCTGTAACCCTGTCCCAGAGAACTGCATCTGGTTTTCCTAATCTCAAGGTGTGTTATGATTTGGTGGGAACATATGCAGGTTTTATCACTGTGAGGCATACAAAATGTCTCTCCCTTTCAAAATTAGGAAACTTGGAAGATTGCTTCTAGGACAATCCTCTACCCTCTTCAAATTTAATGGAAATGTTGAACCATGCAGGGTTTGAATGGCGTGGTTTTGTTGATTAATATTAGTATATTTTTACTGTTGGTTGGCTTTGCAGTAAGTATGAGCAGGTATGACTTGTTAAAGTGCAGATGTTCTCCAGCTTTCAATCTTCATAGCTGTTATCACCAAGTGCTGAGGAGCACTGATCTGGGTGGTAGTGTGTGGTTCTCCCCTCAGTACAACAGTAAATGTGACTGTAACAGAACACAGAGCTTCGTTGTTCTTCCATATCTCTTGAAGCAGATCCTGAGAACATCTTGTTGTCATATTTAGGGTGGAACTGGTTAAAACTAAAAAACAGTAGCACTCAGCCACTCGGCGTGTGTATAGGTTATGGGACAGTCTGAAGTTCAGGGGGATGTCTCTTTCCCTGGATCAAAATGTGCAGTATCCCTAATAATAATTTCTGATTTAAAAGTTTGCTGACTGAGAAGAAATAATGAAAAATAAATTTGATCTTCTAAAATTGTTTTAAGCAATAAAAGGAAATAATTTGAGACTTGCAGCTCTAATTTCATGTATTTAAATTTGGTTCTGTGAAGCAGAATTCTAAAACAAGTAACTGAGATTTGATTGATGTAATAAATCATGCTTCAAATTAGGCACTTCATAAAATTGGATGAGGAACATGAGTAGAATGGATCAGGAATTTCACAGAATCAAAGAATTGTAGGGGTTGGAAGGGACCTCCAGAGATCATCGAGTCCAACCCCCCAAGATATCAAGATATTTGTTTAAAACAGGGGAGTGTATTTTGCTCTAGAACATCTCTTTACTTCCCCAATAGAAACGGGAATGTTTTTAAGTTGAGGGAGGGGAGATTTAGGTTGGATTTAGGGGGAAGCTCTTTACAGAGAGAGTGGTGAGGTGCTGGAACAGCTGTCCAGAGAGGTTTTGGATGCCCCACCCCTGGAGGTGTTCAAGGCCAGATTGGATGGGGCCCTGGGCAGCCTGGTCTGGCATTAAATGGGGAGGTTGGTGGCCCTGCATGTGGCAGGGGGTTGGAGATTCATGATCCTTGAGGTCCCTCCCAACCCTGGCCATTCTGTGATTCTGTGAACAGGTGTTAATGTATGAAGAAATCTTGCCTTCTTCCACGTGATGAAGTGGAAATCTGAGAAAGGTACTCAGTGCTGTTACCTTGTAGTGGGATGAAGTGGTTTGTTGATTAAATCAACTTGTTTCGGCTGCTCAGTGCTGAGATGTGCTGCACATGTAAAACCAAACCAAGGCACATGATAACCAGAGTGGTACAGATGACTGTTTATCTATGTATAATAACCAGCAGAAGCTGATGCTAAAGGATTATTTCTTTTAAGTTCTTTGGCCCTTATGTCTGCTTACTTATACTGTCACATTCAGCACAAACATACTGTGGTGAAAGAATGAAGCAAGTCCTGCCCTGCTGATCATGTAGGTTTCCAGGAGCAGTTAAATGGTGCTTATGCTTCTAGTGTTAGAGCTGATGATTCCACCAGGTTGATTCTCTTTATCTTGGAGCACTGAATTAATATTTCCCCTTAAGTTCCTTTAGCTGTACCTTAGTTTGTTACTTGCATGACAAACTTTCCTCTGTGTTCCTCATGTTTCCTCATGTGCAAGAACTTCTTTACAGTGAGGTGACGGAGCACTGGAACAGGCTGCCCAGGGAGGTGGTGGAGTCTCCTTCTCTGGAGATGTTGAAGACCTGCCTGGATGCCTACCTGTGCGACCTGGTGTAGGGAACCTGCTTTGGCAGGGGGTTGGACTCGATGATCTCTGGAGGTCCCTTCCAACCCCTACAATTCTGTGATTCTGTGTTTAGAACATCAGGATCTTGTGCTCAACTCTTATAGCAGAGGAAGAATTACCTACTTGAAAAATGTATCTATGTATGGTCATTGTCACTTTCAGAAATGCCCATCATAGCAAACTTCTGTTGCAGTCTAACCCCAGTACTAATCTTGTCTTGTGCAGCTGGCAGAAGAGGAATTACTCTGTAGGTTTAAATATTTTACAAAAGTGTTTTATCAGAAGGAGTTGTTCCTGTTCTTCTCTTCTTCCTCTTAACCTGAATTCAAGAAGTAATGGTTTCTGTTCAAGGCAGTTCTGAGAGTTGTGTCTGTCCATTACTTGGTTACAGAATCTTCCTTCTTTTAGAAGTAAATCTAGGTGTATATCTCAGTGAAGGTTTGGCACCCCAAAGTGCTAAATATAATAACTGATATTTAGGGAAAATAGTGATGGGGTGCCAGTGGAATTAATCTTAAGGATAGCCTTGGGATAGAAGGCATGATACAGTCTCAGGGATTCTGAGAAACTGGAGATTTGAAGTCAAGATGGCTTCTCATGTGTATTCCTGTGTGAGTCCCAAGCTTGAGAGACATGGATTTCTACCTTGAGTTGTTCAGAATCTGCGTAACACTAAATGATTTATGGTCATTTCAACACTTAACACTTTATCAGTTCTGCTTTAAAACTGAAGTTGGCTAATGTTTTCTGCTTACTTACTGCATGTGTTTGTTATTGTTTGCAGACCTGGGTTGGCAATAAAAGAAGGAAGATGAGCAGCAAGAGTGCTGTAGAATCTGGAGGTGCTCCCCCAGGGGCTGCCCCTGCTGCTCCCTCGGTACCGCCAGAAGCAGCAGTTAGAAATGTGGTAAATATTGCTCGGTCCCAAAGTCAGCAGTCTTCTTGGACCTCTTCTAATAACGATGTAATAGTTACTGGTATATACAGTCCTGCTAGTTCATCCAGTAGGCAGGGATCCACCAAGCAAACAAGTGCTTCAATGGCAGAAATACATAAAACCTCTATTCCAAGACTACCAGGAAAAAGTGACTCAGACTTTCAGCAGCAGCACATCCCTATAGGGCGACAAATACCACACTGTAAAAATGCCTCACTATTAGTAGGGGAAAAAACGATTATTTTATCTAGACAAACAAGTGTACTGAATTCTGCGAACTCCATTTATAGTCACACAAAAAAAAGCTATGGTGGTTCATCAGTCCAAACTGCAGAGTTGGTGTTACCTCAGAAACCAATGATATGCCACAGACCCTGCAAAGCTGAACTCATGGGATGTCAGAGGTTACAAAAACCAGAACATGCAGCCCTTGCATCGCATGTGCCCCCTGGACAAAGGGCTAACACTAGGGACCCTTCTTGTAGCACACAAAACCTGGAAATCCGCGAGGTGTTTTCTCTGGCGGTTACAGATCAACCTCAAAGAATTGTGGGAGGAAGTACAGCACAGAAGCACTGCTCAGTGGAAGGCAGCTCTCTGTCCATTGCGATGGAAACTGGAGATGTGGATGATGAATATGCTAGAGAAGAAGAACTAGCATCCATGGGAGCACAAATACAAAACTATTCAAGATACTGTGAAAGTAGCAGTTCTGTTCGAGTGGAGAACCAAAGTGCAGCCTTATCTGGGCCAGGAAGAAATGTGAGCTGTAGTTCTCAGATGGTGAATGCCAGGGACGTGCCTGACAGTATGCTGTATCACAGCAGAGACTACCACTTGCCTGCACGGACCTCATTACATACATCCAGTACATTATATAACACTGCTAATACATCAAGAAGTACTTTTTCTCCTCATTTTACATCTTCAAATCAACTGAGGCTGTCACAAAACCAAAATAATTACCAGGTAATCTGTCAATTATCTGTCTGCAAATCTTGAAGACAAGGTCGTTGATAATTACTGTTATCTTTGGAATTTGTTAGCTAATAAGTGGTAGGTTTGTATTTCTGTAAGCTGTGCTCCATTTATGTCTTTCAACAGAGGTAATTCCTTATTAAAAGTGAAGGTAGGACTGTGGTATGGTAGCACTTTTATCTGGGTAGCTGAGCCTGTGGCTGCAGTGGCTTGTCACATACTGAAGGGCAGCGTGGGCTTTGTGTATTCAGTAGATAAACTTTGTTTACATGGGGATCATACCTGCAATTGCTGATACGTGCTAAAGCCCTGTGTCCTGACTTGGCGTACCGGTGCATGTCACAGCTGTACCCTTTGGTTCTCTGCAGACATACTTTGCATGTGGCACAGGGCAGAACATGGGATCACACCCTCATCCATGTGCTGTACAGTTGCTTGCCCTTATTAATGTCAGGTTGGATTAGCTCTTCCATCAATGTCTTATGACTGACAGGCTGTGGTATTACTCATTGCTTTTGCATGCTATTTCTGTTTTAATTTATCCTGAAGATGAGCCATACAAAAAAACATCTTTTAATGTGTGTTGTTCACCAGTATAGGGAATAATAGGATATATGGTGGTTTTTCTGTCTTTTTTTTTTTTCCCCCTCTTCTTTCCAACTTGTCCCTGTATCCTGTCAGAGTTTGAAAGAAAAGGTTTTTTGAGTCTTTAAGTGCCCCTTCTCACCAGAAATCACAACTATTCTGGGCTGGATTCTGTGCAGTAGAGAAAAGTTTCACTTACTGGAATGCAGTATGGATACATCCAGCTGTGTGCTCTCAGCGCTTTATTTCACTTTTGAAAACCTGTCAGTATGTTTTTCTCTTTCTTTCTTTCTTTTCAAATTTCATTAGAAATTAAAAAAACAACAACAACAAAACAACTTGGATTTGGAATACTTTGGGGTAGGGCCTGAATCTCTTTATAGATTAAATGCCACCTATCATGAACCATTCTGTCTGGCCATGTAGTATGGTATAAATCAGATCAGGGATGTCTCTGTAACTTACTTTATTGGTGTCTCTTTGATGCTTTTGTCCTCTGTTACAATGATGTACCTATTTTTTGGTAAGTGAGGAATTCTTTACAGCATTTGACTTCCATGTGACTCTTTCACAAACCCTTTGCCCTTTGGATTTAGGAATATACCTCGGATTCAGAAAATCTTATCTCCTGTGGCATCCTTTGCCCTTACGCACTCTTAAACCTTGAAAGAACTGGGAAGGTTGCTGTTAATGCATTTGTTGCTGTAGCAATCCACTCTGTGAAATATTAAGATGGCACTTTTCAGTATTAGAATTTATAGGGGAAGATAAAAGCTGTGGTCTTAAGGCATGTCATGGTTCTGTAGAAACTGCAGAGGAAAAGTGTCCTACAAGCTGGACGGATCCTGTACTGCCTTGAAGGAATGGTGGCTCTGACTTCTGATCACTGTATTCCTTGCTGAGATTTAGAGCACGTTTCAGAGCAGCGCCAACAGTGAAAACCCTTAAACGCAGGGATATCTTCCTCAATTTGAAAACAGATTAAACTTGAGTTATGTGATTGTGAGAGTAGTTAAACATCCAAGCAGATGCTTCTTCAAAGGTAGGAACGTGTGATGTTGTTTTGATGAAGTGATTACTGCTGTATGTTGGTGGGGCATCTAATCAGCAATTAGTTGTAGCTTTCTTACTGGTTCAGTTAATCAAATTCATCTTAGTGTAAACTGGAAATAAATTTAATAAAATGATTGATTTTAATGCCTGAGCAGTTTTGCTAAGCAAATTGTTCAACCTACTAACTTTTGTTAGTTTGGTGCTGAGCTTATTGAGCAGGAGAGGCTGTACTTACTGGTCCTCGGGGCTGAGTAGGGATTTATCCTTAGTTTCCTTCCCCAGCCCTACAAAAACGTTGTTGAAAGTATGTATGTTGTTTGTTTGTTTGTTTTAATTACTTTGTTATACACACTGAAGCACTGATCTAATTTAGCCCCATACTCTTCTAGGGAAAGTTCAAAATCTTGCAGCAAGGATGGCAGAGTAGTATATATAGATATATAGATAGTACTTATTTCTTTATTACTAAGGTTCACTTTAAGGATGCTTGCAGAGGTGTGATCAGAGAGAGCATGTGGGAATGCTGGGGAGAGCAGCAGGGAGCAGGCTGCAGGAGCACTGCCTGCCACCTCCGCTTCCACAGGACATGCAGCAGCTCAGGGTGGTGGGGGCTGCTGAATGGTCCCAGTGCTGAGAGTTCAGGACAGGGAATCCACAGGTGAACTGGGAAAAGGCTGTGCAGGGACCTTGTACTGCATAACCACTTTTAGTGCCATTTCAGATTTCAGTGTATGTTTCCATGTATGTTGTCTTTCAGATAGTTACACTGAAGTACTGTATTTGACATCAGATCTGTCAGAACTAGTGTGTGTGTGCCTTCCACTTAACTGTTACAGAAAAGCACTGTTTTCTGAAGCTCCACTTGAAATTTGTTGCTCTTCTGAGGTATAAGAATACACACTAGTGTTACATGTGATCCAAATCAGCTTCGCATCGTAGTTAATTTAGCAAGGGAAAAAACACAGAACGACTGAACAGGGAAGTCTCAGAAAAGCCAACTGTATGACTATGGAATGCACTGCTGTTGTGTGGGACAGCAAATCTTAATAGTTGTAACTTGGTTCTAAAATGTGTGCTACTAAGAAATGAATAATTTAGATATGAAAGCTGGTGCAGACTTCCTTTTAGGAGGGAAAGGTGTTTAATTCTAGCTCTCTTCCTCAACCTTCCTTGTGCTGTAATGAGAGCCTGCCATTAGGTAACCCTCAGCACTCAGCTAAAAGCTTGGAGAATGAAGATATTGGACAACAGACAAACTGTACCAGCTATTCTGTATTCAGTCAGACCCATGCTGAAAGATTCATTATTAGAGTATTTCCCTAATACAAAAACTTTAGTGTACTTGATAGAGTCATCAGGAGGAGATTTGTCTTCCTCATGTACAGCATGTGTAATGACATGAGATTGATTAATCTCTCGAGCTGTGTTTATTCTCTGAAGCATTGCTCGTCTGTAGCAGAAGCTGACATGGAATCCTAAATAAGCCTAAAATATTCCAGGCTATAAAACATTGCACATGTCCAGGGAAAATAGTACAAGATTTTATTTTGTTTTGTAACAAGTCTGACGTCTAGGAATGATGGAGGAGTGATGAGAATCAAGGAAGCTAGCCTTCACCTTCATACCCATTCCTCTTCCTTCATTAGCCTCATGTCCCTAGTTTTTCTCCTACTCTGCAAATTCTTGGTATTTGACATTGAAGAATTCAGTTACTGATGCCTTGGTGGATTTTGTTTTTTTTCTATTCTGAAGGTTTAACTGCCATAATTGGAAAATAGAACAGTGCTGTTAAACATGAGGCCCGGGACTAACTCTGGTCTGCTTAATCTTTCAAGCTTTGTGCAGTTATGAGATGTAAACATGTATTCTGAACTGTAAGTTTTGAGACAGCAAAAGTTCATAAGTATCTGAATTGCCGTTGTGTTGTCACTCTCATGTGAGGAAGCAGTTCTGTTTTTAGTCCTGTAACAGTAATGCTAAGTGCGGCTTCGCTTTGCTTCTTAATCTCAGTTTATCTTAAATGTTGTTATCAGGACCAAATGCACAGTATCGAAGTCTTCTGGAAGTTGCTTGCTGTTTGTTATCATAGCAACCTAAGCTGCTGTTGTTTTCTGTTCTGTTTTCCCCTTCTTTACAGATTTCAGGAAACCTTACTGTGCCTTGGATTACAGGTTGTTCCAGGAAAAGAGCAGTAAGTATATTTCCATTCAAGTATCTAATACATCAGGTACAGGAATGAGACACTTTATCTAAATGTATTCTTGGAAATATCAAGTCCTGTTGTTGTACATTCCATCTTTTCTTTTTTTTTCCTTCCATGTACAAGTTTTCTTGAGACTGTAGCCTTTTTCTGGAAGGCACCGTCCCACTATCATTTAATGACCTTTTCAAACATCAAGCAGGCAGTCAGTGCCCTCGAGTACAGTCTCAGGAGCTGGCTGACGTGGTTTCACAGCGCTTCACAGTTGAAAAGGAGGAATTTTATTCCACCCACGCTCCCTATGGGTGCACTGCCACCCCAGCCATAACACTGGTGCTGGTATCTAATTGCAAGGTAATCCAAATTAAGCATCTGACCTGTCAGATACATCTCTTCCACTGAGTTTCTTTCTGCTGAGTTTGTATTTTTCCAGGTTTTAGTGAGCTGAATGTACTTGGGATCAGATGAGCATAGCTCTGAGTAGGCAGCAGTGATGAGGAGGGTGGGGCAGCAAGAACTAGCTGTGAATTTTTACACTGGCACTCTTATTTCATTATGACACCATAGTGCCAAAATGCTCCTTCCTGTACGCTTTCCATCTCTGTGGTATGAGTAGCAGTGGTGCACGAAGGCAGTTACTGATGTTGATTGCAGCCACGTGCGGCAGATTCTGTCCTGGTCCAGTGCAGAGCCCTCAACTGCAAGGTTATTGGGAGTAACACCAAATCTCCTCTTGTGTCCTCAGTTTAATATCAGTGGATAATGTTTAGGCAGGACATCTTCAGCTTTTGAGTCAGGAAAAAATTATAACTTAAGAAAGATTCTAAACATGGAATTTGTTTCTGAAAATACTTATCTGTTCTTTGCTATCATTCAGACTTTGTGATACTTTATGTATCAGACAGACTTAAAATGTTTTTCAGTAGGGAATAACAATTGAGCATGTTGCATTTTTTCCTATCAATTTCTTCTTTTCTGTATGTACAAACTAATGAGACACAAAACATTTGCATGGACTTCCGGTAATTAGCTTGCCACCTGGGCTTCAGTGTATGTAGTGTGCATATGACAGGGATGGGTGAGAGAAAACGTGGGTGTGGAATTTCTTGAAGCTTGAGCAGGCACATGAGCAGCTCAGTGAGCAGCTGACATCTTTTCTTGCAGATATTTGGGACATTTTATCTCCTAATGAGCTACAGATTTGCTGACTGATTCCTTCTGTAGCAGGGGAAGTTACTGTGCCAGTCTGCTCACTGTTTGCAAGTGAGATCTCTCCAGGGGTAGAGTCTCCTGGGGAGGGGTTGGTGGATCCACTTCCTTCTGGCATTTCAAGTATAGCTGTCTTTCCCCACAGCACACCATACTCTCACTCTTATTTTGGAGGTAAGCACTGCAACTTCTCATTTCTCCAGCCTTAGGTATTTGGGAATACCCACATAAGGGAAGGCTTTTCCATTAACATCAGCTGCTGCTGCTTAAGCGTTGCCTCTCTCCATAAACTGTAATTTTAATCACCTGTTTAACAATGTGAACTATTTTTTCCAATCCATTTTTGCTCTGAATTCTCTATGTAAAAGAATTTGTTTCTCTTTACTTCTCCCATCCCTTTTCAACCAGAATGCAGCACAAGACTGATTGATTTACTTATTTCCCCCTCTTTTTGCTCTATGAAGGCTGCACTGCCATCTGGGGATGAACCTAATGGGAAAATGCAGATGTAAGGAATTGCAGTAGATGTCTCAGGGAGGTTATGTTATGACTGAGAGGCAACAGGTACACTTCCAAGGCAGTAATCTTCACAGCACAGAGTGAACCATAAGCGGAGCTTCTCCTTTGCTGTGCAGGGCAGGAAGCGTTCACCTTTCTGTTAGTCATTCCAGATGAATTACTTCTGATGGCAATATTTACCCTTATCTGATTTAAATTGGGATGTAGGACTTCTCCGTAGATGAATCTATGTAGAGTGAGCTGGATAAGCAATCGAGGAACTGGATGGCTTGTGCGTTGGTATTCCGAAGTTTTATTTTTTTGGAGGTGACCAGGGTAATGACCATGTAGTTGTGGGTTTGGCACTCCAGAACTGATACATGTACACAGGTGTAAGGAAATGAAAGACAGGAAAGTCTCCTATTTCTTAGGAAACTTCAGTTTCAAATGTGAAATTCTTTTGAAGAAAGAACATGAAGAAACAGAAATAGAATGCATGCAGTTGTAGAACTGTGATTATGGCAATTACTACCATTCAAGAAGCAAAAAGGCTGATCTGTATTTTGTTTAAAATAGAGAAGATTGTGTTTTAGATGCTCTGAATTTGTTTTAATCTTCTGCCTTGTAATTTGTTTTCCTCTCCTTGTCCTTCAGCTGCATCGAGTCAAATAACTACAGTTCTACAGAAACTCTTGCTGCTCTGCTCAGCTGTGCTCTAGAATGATGTAATCCTGACTGTTAGTGAATATTAGAGTAGAACTATCACTCTGTTATTCATGTGAATGTCTTTCAAAAACATGGAGTTCTGTACTGTGGAGTAAGTGGAGAGCTTCTGTCACGAACATTTGCATTTAGATCACCGGGCCGTTACAGCCAATTTCCATAAAATTCTAGAGACACTGGCATTAAAGTGTTCTGCTCAGAGTCTGTCACAGGAGTACATGCACTTTGTCATGCACTTTGGATCAGGTAAAGGACCAGATCCAGCTCCGTGTTGCTGTGAGTCCTGCCACCAGCTGAACTTGCTCATCTGAGGGAACGGCAGTGGCAGCTGGTGTGTGGCAGACATTGGTGGTGTGGGTATGTCAGTACAACTGCTGAATAAAGTTCCTTGTTGGGTTGTGACCTAAAAACCTCATGAAAACTACAGCCACAGTGAGCCTATGTGTACTGATGAAAACTATCTCTGGGTGGCTTTTTAAGTAAAGTGGGAACCCACAGGGGTTAAAACCAAGTGCACTTCAGTTAAGCCTTTTTATTTTAAAACTGTATGCCAATATTGAAATATTTATTAGTCCTGCCTCCCTCAGAGCAAGCATCTGGCTTACTAAAACAGTGGAGCGAAGTGCAAAAAGTCTCTTCCAGAAATCTGCGATTGCATGCTTGTGGTACAGGAGCTGTAATGGTTTGCAGTCCACCTTCAAGCACGTGTCTGTCTGAAGGCTTTGCAGATTGTGTTCTTCTCTGTATCTTCTGCTCTGTGAATGAGACTTGGTGGTAACATTTTTAACAGCTCACTCCTAGCCATATTGCTGGGGGCCTTCTGGTATGTTTCTTTGTCTTAAGATTGGAAGTGCCATGTGATAGGTACTGATCTGCTCGTGTGCTGACAGAGGAAATCTTGAGATGGGGATAATTAGTGTTCAGAAACCAGCCCTCCAAATCATTTTGGTAATTATGGCCTCCAGCTGCATCCTTATTTATTTATTTTAAATTCCCCAGGGAGAAGTGTGTATCCTGGGAGTCCTAGTGGGTTGGGTGGAAATGCACACAGGACTCCAGTCCACAGACAGCAGGCTCTTCAGGGATACTCTGACTGATATTTCTGCTGATAGTGCTAAGGGAAAAGTCAGTCCAAGATTTTAAAGGTTTTTTTTTTTTTTTTAGTGACAGTAAAGCAAATTCTGTCAGTTGTGTGTGGCTGAAGACTAGCCTGTTCTTTCTATAAAGAGATGCAGTGTTGGCCATTGGAGAAGAAATTGCAACATTTGCTAGGGAGCAAGACACTCTGTAGTAGTGACTAGTATGTGTTGCAAGAGGTTCATTTGCTAGAAGTAACTGTGGTCGTAGAACACTTAATCACAGAGCATCAGAACTGGGCTGCTGACCTAGTTCTTTAACTTCAGAATATGCCTTCAGGATATGCCTAATCTGAATATTTTCAATTGACACATAAGAACTGATCTAAAAAAGGCAGGTGCTAATAAACAACGGGCTAAGGACACTGCACTGAAGTGTAATTACTCGTATCAATTACAGAGCCTGGGATCGCACCACAAATATTGCAGACAGTGGGTATAATGAGGGGCTTGGCCAAGTGCCAGGGATGCCTATAATAAACTGGGTCATCTCTTATAAGAGTGTTGTTATTACACTTGAGAGGTCAGGGGATAAGCAGGGTTTAACCCTGAGCTTGGCAGAACTGCTGATTCAATTTGCTCACAAGGATTGCTTTTCATTGTGAGTTGATGGGCTATTTTCTGCTGGAAGAAGCTTCTCTCTGCTTTTCAAAGTATGGACAACTGAACTGATAAATGTAAAGTATTCCACAGACAGTTAATACAGACAGTTAATGCTCTCAAGGATAAAGTTGGGCCTCAAATCAGCAAGTAGAGAGTTTGAAGGAAGGACATGAGAATTGTATTCACAGTGTTCGTAATAATGAAGTAAAAAATAGCAACTGAATTATTGTCTTGTCTTCAGTTACAAGAAGTGTTATTTTAAAGATGAAGCTTTTCAGTGTTATCTTTTTTGTTAATTTTTTCCCCTCCCTGTGGTAACTGCTGATCACCATCAGTGCTGTGGTATTTCTAGAACTGTACGTTTTCTTCTTTGTTTCCTCAATTCCTCTGGTGATACTAAATAAGAGGAGGTTATTAACTAAACAGATAGAAGTGTAGATGCATGTTCTATGTAGGAATTCTGCCCTTTATTTCCTTACAAAAGACACCAACTTTTGTGAGTGTTAAGTAATTTTTGAGTAGTGTATAATGCAGGAGTCAAACTTACAGTATTTGTGAAGGGGATGATAATGTAATTGAATGTAGTTTGTGTAAGAAATCCATGCAAAGGCACTGCATGGTCACTTACAGAAAGCAGCCAGTCCTAATCTGAGTTTTAATAAGCTTAGGTGTTATGTACATTTAGTAAGCCTATGGGCTGAGGTGGATCCCAGCAGTGAGAGCAGTGTAAGTGAAGGAGAGAATCTTCCTTTGTGCTCCCTGATGCAGTGTAGTGCAGCTCATGTCTGCGAAGCACGTGGGCAGCTTCTGCAGTTTGTTAACGTGCAGGAGCCTGCTACCCACAGTGACCTGTTGGTCATTCTGAGCCCCCAGGTGCCAAATATCTTTCTTTAGAGGGCACTGGTATGATTTCAAGTCTCAGTCCTCCATTGGAGATACTCAGGCCTGTCAGGCTGGACCTGGCTGTCAGCTCCCTGATGGAGATATTGATGTTCCTGCTCATTGCAGGGGAGTTAGATTACATGACCTTTAAGGGTCCATCCATTCCCACTCAATTCTATGATTCTATAATTGTAGCTTCTGTTTCCAACTTCATGTGTTTCTAAAGAATACCATCGTCTATTTACTTGAACAACTTTCCTCTCCATTTGTTTCTGCTTTCTGGACTCTCTCATGCAGTGTGTGTTGTAGAGTTTTGTTTTTTTCTTTCATATCAGTTGACTGGAAAAGCTTGTTCTCCATTCCCTTGTCTGACCTGCGATCGGTATCAGCGTGATTCATGCGCTGCTGCACGAGTCCTTCAGCAGAAAGAGGAAGGGTAAAGTACCTGATGTGACAGCAGCTGCAAGAGCAACCAAAAAGCAAAAATATGTGTTGTCATCTTATTCCCAAGTATGAGGAAAAACTAAATCCATGTATTTAGTGTGCAAAAGCTGAGCAACTTCTAAAAGAGGGGAGATGTAGGTTAGATGTTAGGAAGAAATCTTTTTACTTTTTTAATAAACACTCAATATGCTTCAGAAGATAAAGTTGTCCTAAGCTTCCAGCCCATCACAAAGAGCGGGGGAGGCCAGACTGACTTGTTTCTCCTTCTGTAGTGAGCACTGCTATCACACTCCTTTCTACCTTCCCTTTTCTCAGTGCTAGGCTGCCTCTCCCTGACCATTCCATGCAAAACGAGAGAATTCATGCAGCCCTTTTTAGAAGTTGCATTCTGCCTTGCCAACTGCTATAAGAAGAGATATTGTCACAGCGATTTGGGAAATGACCATGTCATCCTTGAAAGGTGGCTTGCAGGTACTCAGAGTGTAGGTCAGGTCAGGCTAACCAGCATCTGCTTAGGAATGTACATGAGGGATTTAGTCCAGCAGTGTGCTTTCCGGGTGAAGTCCACTTACTGCCCTGAGCAGTGCTGAGACGCTCCAGGTGGTCTCCCAGCTGAAGGCAGGCTGCAGCAGCCATCTGGGAGTGCACCTGAGGCACTGCTGGGCTCAGGCCCTGGGCACAGGGTGGCTGCAGCTCCGGCTGCCTGGCTGCTGCTGGGCTCCTCCCGGCATGTGAGCGGCTGGATGGCAAGGTGGGAGCAGCTTCTGGTGTTCTGTGCTTGGCTGGGTGAAGCCACAGCCATGTTTTGACATCCTTTCTACAAGTGCATTAAGGAGGCTTAGGTGTTTCCAACATTTTGTGTTTTAATGCACTTTAGAGTTATTTCATTCTAACTTCAAACAGTTTTCAAGTGGGCTAACCTGGATTTCAGGTGTGAGACCATGATTATTTCTCTAAAAATTCAGCTGTTGAAATGATGACAAATTTGGCACATGTGATGACTAATGCACTTTATAGTTATGTTTGTATGCTCCTAATCGCTGGAGAGATGACAAACGTGGGCTGATATAAAGAAAACAGAAATGTTAGTTAAAATTCTGGGCTAAAAGCTATTGATAAAAGTTAAAGGTTCTGTTGGCAGACTGAAGCCCATAAAAATGGTAGGAAGAATTAGCAGGAAGTGTAGGATTTGTTTCTCAGTTTCACTGCTTATTATCAGTAATCTACTATCACCTATTTTGATAAATATACACAGAGTTAGGGAACTTGCAAATAAACTGTAGAACCAATTTAAACTCTGAAGCTCACCAAATAAACATTAAAGTATTCCCTTTAGGAACTCAGAATCCTTTGAATTATGCATGTATTGTAGTTTGCAGTAAGATAAAAGAACTTTAGGTGGGGGAGAGTGAGAAACTTGAAAAGCCTTAAGGAGTAATTTCCATAAATTGGGTGGAGAGAGTAAACAGCACAAGTGGAAAAAGTTATTTTCAGTAAGGTCTTTTGGAGTAAGATAAAACAAATTTAAAAATCAGGTGGAGTTTGGAACAAAGCTAAAGTGCTTTAAACTCATTTCAGCACTGCCACTGCCTTTCAAGCAACTCCCAGGGAACGCTGTACTGGCCTGGATAAGTAACTGAACTTAAAAAAAAATTCTGAAGGGTGAGTTAGAAGAAAAGCCACAAAGACAGTGTAACATACATCCTACTGTGTGCAAGACCTCTGGAAATTAAATGAACAGGATAAGGATTTTTAATCTAACAGTATTCTGTTTTCTTTTATCTTACAGTTACAGGACCGCACCCAGTTTAGTGACAGAGACTTGGCGACCCTAAAGAAATACTGGGACAATGGCATGACCAGCCTGGGCTCAGTCTGCAGAGAGAAAATAGAAGCTGTTGCTGCAGAATTAAATGTTGACTGTGAAATAGTGCGGGTAAGAAATCCAGAGCCTTCCCCTATCTTGTAGCAGAAGCAAAAATAGGACAGATGAAAGCTTTTAAAAATTTCATGAGGAAGCTTGAAATAGATTTCACGTATTACATAATGAATGACCATTTTAGGAAGTGTTCTCTTGCTCTTTCTGTAGTCTATATATAGAAAAAAGCCCTCAGGTAAGAGTCTTATTGATCAGGAGTAGAAGTAGCACTCCAAACAGTTTGACATTCTCTTTAGATTTGAGTGAGGTTTTGAAGAAGCCCTGCATGTTTTTAGGGATATCCTAGATGAATGAGAAGTGTTGTCATTTATACTGTGATTAAGATACAAAAATGACCTTCTAGAGATACAGGGAAAATATTTTTCAATACTTACAGGAAAAAAAGTAATTTTAAACGTACAAAAGAAAACGTTCAAAAATAAAATTTATTTTCCAAGGCTGCTTTGAGGCTGGATTGAGTTGTGACAGAGGGCAAGGGGTGCTGTGAAGAATTCTGGGTCCTTTCAGTTTGATAGTCTGTGCCTTTGAGGAAGGATTGCTTTAGAAAGTACATGCTTAGTGTAGGTATCCTGTTTGCTGAGAGTCATTCTGCATTGTCTGTTCCTGAGGTGGGGAAGTTTGGTAAAACATCCGAATATAGTTGCCACTGTAAACACAATTACCAGATGTATCATCACTCTAAAACCAGAGGTCTCTTCTTCACTCAGTGCTTCCATTCTTCGGAAAATAGTCTGACTGTCTTTGCAGTCAGCAGAAAAATATGATTAGAGCTGTCCTTTCCCATCTTAATGGGCATGACAATTGTGACTGCTCCTTTCAGCCTTCAGACTGCTCATTTTCCATCTCTCCCTTAAAACCTGACACCAAAGGAAGAGGGTGACAGCAGTCAAACTCTTGAAAAGTGTATGAAAAATACAAGGAAAAGGCATGACAATTTTTTTATTTAATGGAACATAAAATGATTGTACTTAAAAGATGAAGTGCTACCAAAACAGAAGAGATGAGAGCCTTTATTTGAAACCCTTATGAAGACCTCTGTTGGATTGGTATATCTGTATGGTATCAAATTAGTTTCAAATAGTGAACTTGGCTATTTACTTGCTTATTTTCCTGACTGAATCTGAATTAAGAAAAAATGAAGTTGCACGTTTTTGGAGGCTTATTTCTTTTCTCTGTAGAGAGAGAATGTTTTCCAAGATCTTCAGTTCACTTTTGAAAACTGAAGCTGTTTCCATTGAAAGCAGCAAAAATGGTGTCCCGGATAACAGGCAGTCTGACACCCTTGCTTAGTCTCCCTTTGTTCCTTTCTTGGCATACAGAGATTGGCAGTATGAAGTTTTGTGCACATCTTTTAATAGTGTCTTCTTGAAATGCTTTTGTCTTCAGGACCACCGTACCAGGTTCAGATGAGCTTCTTAAAACTCTTCAGTGTGTGTGCACATGCAAATGGATGAGCAAACAAAAATTTCTTTTTCTTCATGGTAACTGTTGTTGTTACCAGTATCGGACTAACCTATGCCCCAGGTTCCTCTATACTGACAGACTTGACAGTTATAGTGAAATTTAGGTTGGTCCTGCTTCATGCTATGCTATTGACAGCTTGAATTACTAGTAATTCTGCAGAGATATGCAGCAGAAAGGCTGCTTAATCCTGTCTGATTAACAGCTTCTTTTGGGGGCCTAGGCATAGTATAGATCCAGTTTGTGATCAAGAAACAATGTGAAAAAACAACTTGGAATCCTCAGTCTGTGTTTTTTCCCTTATGTGGGATTTCTGAAGGTTCCAACCTAGAATCTTTCTAGCGTGCTGACACCCTAACCTCAATCACTGCAGAGTTATAATCACGCTTCTTAGGTGGCTCCCTGTCAACGTGCTTACCTGCAGGCTTACTCACAGCAAGCATACACTGGCTGCTTCTACCTAGCCTTTGTCCTCTCTTCCTTACCTCCTCCTTGTCATCGGGTGAAGCTGATGCTGAATTTGTTATTGGCTGTTGTAAGTGGGCTTAGTGAGTCTGATCATATGTACTTTACAGGTAGTTTTGAAGTTTTTAAGGACGTGTCATTTTAGGGATACAATTGACATTAATACACTGCCTACAAGGAAATACTATTCTGCTCATACTCTCATCATTATATGGCTCCACAGTAGTCACATTTAAGCATAGCATGTACTCTATGTGGAAGCTTACAACTTCTCTTTCCCATTTTGATATACTGTAAAAATACATTCGTTTTCCATGATACATTCAGTAGGTTGAATGAAAGAATTTCTGCTTTGAGAAGCACATAAAAAGACTGGTCATATCTGTCTTGTCCAGGAGCCTCTTCTTGGTTTTTTGTTGTTTTTTTTTTTTTTTTTTTTTTTCAGAATTTTTTAGTTTAAAAAAAAAAAGCATATTGATTCTTAAACTGCATAGTTGTTAACACTGTTTATTGCTACCCCAAATGCTATGTATTGTACAATAATCTCTAGTTAGCTTTTTTTGTACCTGTTTTGCATTTGTCACTGAGGAAAATTAGGGCTGGGAAAGCAAGTAGCACCTAGGAAAAATGATTTGCCAAGAACCAGTGTTAGCCATGCCATCTTCTACCTAGTTAGAGATGCAGCTTGTTGTATCTTACTTTACTTTTTCCTAAGGCTGGCACAGCATGGAACTATAATAGTTGGGATTGTAGTTTGTGTTTCTTAATTTTTCACTTTGATAACTAAGGTATTATAAGCAATGTTTTTTAATAATCTTTATTGTGCTGCGTGTTGGAACAGTAGTTAAATTGAGTGGATTGGGAAGAAGAAACATTGCAATTATTTCCAAAATAAGGCCATAATAATGTTTTTTCATATATCTTTAAAGAAAAAAAATCCTGTAACATTCTAATATGTTTGGCAAACTCTGTTGGGGCTCAGACCTTATGGAAGCAATGTACATTTTCCATGCCCCATTAACATGCTTTCAATAATAGCAATGCACATGCTTTCTAGAGGTATATTTGTTTCTTGGAATCCAGAAATTCCAGCACTGACCATGCTTCAAAGCCCACTATTGACTGCATTGTACATACCTAATAATTGCAGTAATCCACTATGCTCTGTATGATTATAGCTTGTGTGGCACAATTCCCTTGTCAGCAGTCCTGCACTGGCATGTGGTCAGGTCCTGGGGTGGTGGTGGATGTGCTTCCAGTGCTGGCAGCACCGCTCCTGTCATCTTATGGAGGGCATGGAAGGGGGGAGGGCCAAGGCAAGAAGACTAGAAGTTATGATCAGGCGAAGAAGCTGATTCCAGGGTTTTTGGATACCAGTGAGAAACTGATTTTGATGGAACCGAGTGTCTGTGAACAAGAGCTGACAAGTGGAATTGAAATGGGTGAGACTGAAAAGCTTGGGTAATGCAAGGAAAAGAAGAGAGTTGAGATAAAGCGTTGCCGACAAGTCTTACTGCATCACATTGAACTCTTTTTTGAGTCTTTAAAAATTTTAGCATAATTTGTTCTTTAGAACTCACCAGAGAAAGCAAGTCAGTTAACAGTCAGGAAGCACTGTAATTTCTTTTCTGAAGGCTCGTCCTACAACTCAAGATGACGCAAAGATAATATTGTTTCGAGATTACTTCACTTACTTTACAAAGTATGCTTCCATATCAAAGTGAAGCGATGTAAAGCTACCATCTTGAATATTTTTTCCTGTGCTGTAGGAAATCTTGGAATAGGTGGACCATTTTGGTCACAGAGTGGTTTGATCACATTAGAAGTTGTGAACCAAGAGAACTTGAATCCAAGATCATATATTGATATAATAATTTAGGGAGGGATGGGCATACAAGATCACTTAGTCCTTGTCTTTATTCATAGCAGAACCTATTCACAGTTAGGTCAGGGCCTTGTCCAGTGAAATGTTGACTACCTACATGGCTGGAGATTCCAAAACTCCTGTGGACAAACCATTCCAGTGCTTAACTGCCATCACTGTAAAACATCTGCTTTCTTTTTTTCTCAGTTCTGGTCAGAATTTTTCTTGCTGTAACTTGCAGCTGTTGCTTTTATTCCTTTTGCTCTGCACTTTTCTTCCGTTTTCACTTGCATTGGGGTCTAAAACTGAGCACAGTACTCCAGGAAGCAGCCTCATGAAGGCCAAATATAGAGGAATAGTCACCTCCTTTGGATTGCTGGCTATACTCCTGTTCTTAGAATACAGATGTGCTAATTTCACTTGATTGTGGGTCTATTGCTTTTGTTACAGTTTCTGCTATAATTCATGTTTATTTCTCTTGCAAGACATGGATTGGGAATCGAAGACGGAAGTACCGTTTAATGGGGATTGAGGTCCCACCCCCTAGAGGAGGTCCTGCTGATTTCTCTGATCAATCTGAATTTGTTTCTAAATCAGCACTTAATCCAGGAGAGGAAACTGCTACTGAAGTGGGGGATGATAATGATAGGAATGATGAAGTATCAATCTGCTTATCTGAAGGAAGCTCACAAGGTATTTGAAAATGCAGTTACCACTGTGCATGTGTTTTTAATTTTGTACTGTTGCATGCTTTGGGTTCTCTGTTGTACACATTCAGAAATGTCTGAAACAGTGTCGTTTTCTATAGACAGTACTGTTTGTCTCTTCTCTCTGTGAATGCTGCCTATGTTTTTATCACAAAGCTTTCAGAAACTTTCTGTCATAAGATTCTTTTTCTGCCAGATTCCTCAGAAGTTAATTAACAAGTTCACAGTTTGCTCGTGCAACTGAGAGGTGAGCAAACAGTACTGGTGGATCAGCCTCCTTTCCCTGGGAAGCTGAGTTTTACAGGTGCTCTCTGGTAACTCCCCAGTTCTACTCTGTGAACTTGAACATCAGTTCTGTTAGGGTCACATCAGCAATTCGTGGCTAAAGAAGCACCGATGCGTGTGAAGCTGCTAGCTTTGAGGTGACCAGAGCTATGCAGTTATGGTTTCCACAATAAACTCAAAATGATAAGTTCAGAAAATGAATTAGCTCAAACTCTGTCTTAAACTAAAAGAGCTTCAGACTGTGTCAGAGCACAGCAGAACTTGTGCCATTAAGCTGCCTCAGGTGTGTGTATGTGCTTTGACAGGCAGATACAGATCTGCAGTAAGAATCAAAGTCAGTAGCTGGAGACAGTTCAGGAAGCCTTAGAACTGCATCTACAGGGTGCATGTTTGTTCACAGTGAATTCCATGCTCTGGAGTGATAAGTGTCTTGAACTTAATTCCCTTTTACTGCACCTTAAAGAACCATCTGACCACATGGGACAAACCTCTGCCTTCCCCTCCTGTACACTCATGCTCTGGGCTGAGGGCATGAATTGCCACTCTGCTCCTTTCACCAGCTTTGCAGCCTCGACTAATTGCTCCCAGTGCTTCTGATTAGAAGAGATCAATAAAACTTTTGTTGTCTAAGCTGAAAGAAAGTCTGAACAAGCGCGCAGTATTTCAGTTTCACATGCCAGACTTGATCTTGTCATTTTGTCTGAACAGTTTAAAGAAAGAACTAGAGAGATGGAGAACTGCTGGGAATGAATTTGAGATAGCTTTGTCATAACCTACTATAAAGAGAATAAGATGATTAAGAAATGGGTCAAATGACTGAAAGCCAAGTGAGATGCAGAATCGGAGTCCTTGATTTGCCTGAGGTGTGGAAGGCCCTGATTTAGTCAGATCTGTTTGAAAGAAAGTGGTGATGGGGGAAGAACTTGAGTTTTCTGCAGCTTAAAGCAAAAAATAACACTGCATGTATTGAATGAGGCTTTCCTACAGCAGAGTGCAGGACTTTGAGCAGATGAGTATAGTCAAAGGGTAAGGAAGTACCAGAAATCTGTGGGGTTTGCATAGCACCCAGGAGTCTCTCTTCCATCCTACCACAAGAATTGTTTCTGCTGACTTCTACAGTTGAGACCAGTAGATTTCACTGCTCGGATTACTGGGAACTTCCTGAAAATAGTCACACCGACCATCACGTACACTGCTCAACCACAGATGTGATTGTTTCAGTATAACTCTCGGTCTTAATTAACAACAACAACAAAAAACAAAAAAACAAAAAACAAAAAAAAAACCCATAACTCTTAGGACATTTTAAATTGCCAAATTAGAGTGAAAGTGTTGGCATTAGGTTTTAAAAAGTACCACGTAAATATTAAAAAATAAAAGAAAAAAGAAGGCTGTACTCTCCAAAATCAAGCACTAAGATTCAGACAGTGCCTTGCCTTTTTTACAGTTAGTGTAAATGAACTCAACGTGGAGGCCACTGAACTATGCCAGTTTATGTTAGCTGAGCATGAACACTTAAAGATTTTAAAGTGCTGCAGGGAGTTGGATTCACTGGTGGAATGAGGAGGTGGTGGCTGCAGGCTGCAGAGCGAGGGGAGCTGTGGGCTGCTGGGGTCCCTGTGAGCAGCACAGGGTGGGTGGTGGTTGCTCCCTGCCTCACGCTTTTCCCATTTGGAACCACTCGCTTTTGTTTTAGCAGAAATTTTCCTCTGCAGTGCAGCCGGTGGCAGATTATTTTGTGTTGTTTCAAATCGATTTAACGTTTGTTCAGTTTAGAGAAATTTACTGGCAGAAAACAATAACTGTCTCACCATGGGCTGGCCTGGATGCTATCCATTCTCTGTGAGCGTCAGTCGTCTCCATTTAAATCCTGTTGTTAAGTCCTGTTAGCTCTGCGTGCTTGGAGGAGGTACGCCTTGTCCCACTGCTGCCCCTCTGCCCCTCTCGTGCTGCAGGCGCTGCACAGCACCTGATGCCATGTGTTTCCATCAGCGTTGGCCTCACTGTTCATGCCCTCACTTAGGTTTCTTACCAGAGCACTCTCGTCTCTGTTTCTTAATTATTTGCTGTTTCTCTAAACTGCTTCCTTCAGGTCTTTGAGTTAAATGTGGAGAATTAAAGTAAATCTGAGAAACACACTTAATCACAGCAATGAGAATATCTTATCTTTTTCTAGCAGAAGTCAGGGCTAATGGAATCATCTTGTGCTGAGATCTAAGGATAAGACTTGCTCTGTTTTCAGACATGTGCTTCGCTTGTACACAGAGCAGGCCAAGCCTAGGTCTATTAGAAATAAACAGTTTGCCATACAAGAAGGAAATAATCTACTTGATCACTGTTCTGTTCAAAAGTAGCCAGTGCCTGCAAGTAGGAGGATTCTGATACCTATCCTATAATTACAGTGCATGCTGGATTTTTCATGTATTAATTCCTTAAAAAAATGTTCTGGGCACCTCTGACGTGTGAAACACTTCATCATCTTTGAATATTCCAACCTGAACCTAGAACTAGGAACGCTTTGGTACGTGGCAAGGGAGTAACAGATATTTTTTCTGTCTTTTCAACTAGCAATTGGCATGACTTTGGCCTGAGAAGCTTGTGGTACAATGTCTTCTTTAATGAGACATGGAATATTATTTTTTGCTTAGCTTCTGATAATGATTTTCATTTTCTGTATCTAGTAGATGTGGTGTATTTGGTCACAGGGGCAACTAATATTCCTTAAGCATAAAATTTGAATGAAATCTGAAAAACTCGTTTATTTTTGCAGAAGAAACAAATGAAGCTCTTCAAAATGAAGAAATTCATCACAAAGATGATGAGCGGAATCCAGTAGCTGCTGATAATGTGGTATGTACACCTGTCCTTTTCCACTGATGTGACTTCCTTTATGTCTAATGTTGAAGTTGCTGTCCAACACCATGTTTTTCACTAGGTAAAAACTTCAGTTGAGTTCTGAGAGTGTATTTTCATATTGTTTGAGTGCTGGAAGAAACTGTACTAAAAGTACTAGAGGAGACAATTATGCACATTCAGTAGAAACTGAATACCAGACATTTTTCCATACTGTAACAGTCCAGTGTCTTTTCCTATAGTGCAAGGTGCAGTGTTTGGGTAGTGCTCTGTTAGTACCTGCTATATTAAAATAGTAAGAATTAGAAAAAAAGTGAAAAATTTCGGTACCTTTAAGGAAGTCAGGTATTGTTAGTGCTTGCTCTTTGTACCTAGCCCTCAGTCTGTGAGATCAGTCCGTTCCCTTAATCTCAATAGGATGTTGTTTAGATGATCATTGTTCTCTCACTTGCATTCACGTTAAGTCAAACACAGTTGTTCTTGCTTTTCTTAATTGACTGCATTGAGACAAGGAAGGAAAGACAGAGGGAGGAGTCATGGCAAATAATGCGATATGTCCCTTTGTTTAGCCTGCCTTCTCTCAGATTAGAAGAAAGGAGAGGAGGAAGAAGAGAGAAGACCCCAAGTGGTAGGGTGATTTTTATCTTAAAAAGTTATTTGGAGAATGAACAGGTCCCAGTTACAGCCATTGCAGCCAGAGGCTACAGCTCTGATTTTACATTTGTTTTTTTTGTTAATCACACAAAAGCTGAAATGGGCTGATGAACAGGAGATTCTTTTTCCTCTACAGGTGTATATATGTGGAGAAGATAACATTTTATTCCTTTTTTATTTCTTTTGATAGTATATGGTCAGCTTTTGGATAAAAAAAATCCCAGGCTGCATGTTCTGTGGCTTGTCTGAATAGAAGCAGCTCCTTTTTCCTTTCTGTTTACCATAGCAGCCTGCTGTGACCTTAGATATAATCACTCAGGCTGACGTGTTTGCCATGGAGATGCAGAATATAAAATGACAAAGGTAAAAGGTTTGCAAAGGGGATGTCCAAGGGCTCAGTTCTCCACCTAAACTCCAGCATTATATAATTTGATAAGAGGGAAGGGGGAGGCAAAGATGACTTTTTTTTTTTCACACTCTGTTTTATTAGAACTGTAACAGTTCTTGAAATATGTGCTGTTGCAGTTGCACTTAGACTTTGCATAACACTTTTTCTTATTTGAAATTCAGGTCTATTCCTTCCCCCGCTATCTTAAAATGTATAGTTATAAGAAAGTCAGTGAACGACTGACATTTATTTAGAAGTTTTTTCCTCAAAAATAATTTCCTCTAACCCCCAAAATATATAGATCACAGTGTTGCTCAGCGTATGATGCAGCAGCAGATCTTTGTGACATTAAGCCTTTGAAGTGCTGTCATTTCAGCTGGGTTGTCAGACACTGAACAACAGAAAATGTGGTTTCCCCTCCCTCCCTGTGACACATGGCTGTGGGGTAGTGAGAGTGATAGCCAGTCCTTATGGGTAGCTCACGGGGGATGAGAAGGAAGCTTCCAATGGCTGCTCTGTAGGAGGGGGAAAGAAGGCACACACGCAAGCTGTAGTGAAGAAACCTCCTCTAATATAACAGCTTGAGAACTAACCATTAGAATCTATTGTGTCAGTGTGAGTCGTTGCCTACGCTGTATCACACAGCGTACTGAACAGTGGAATGAAACCACTTTGACCTATTATATGCAGTCTGTGTACGCTTTCAACTGCCAAAATAGTGAAAAATAGTAAAACCAACCAAACAAAACAGCCAAAACATCCCTTTCTTACCTGACCACTGCTTCTCTCTCAAAAGTTATTGAGTTATTCTTCTGAATTCTTGGGTAGAAGTGCCAATCTCTTATCACTGTCTAATTCAAAATCATTCCAGCTGATTGAGATCTGATTTAGATATGAATTAAAAAAAAAAATGCCATAAGTTTACTAAAGACATGTAATTTCTGTAGGAGAAAATACAGAATTTGTTTTGAGTTGATTTTCTCATGTAAGAAGGCTTTCTGTGGGGAAGAAAAACACTGCGTGGAAGTTAATATAGTTAAAATTTGTGATTATATGGTATTTCGAAGTCTTGAACAGCATTAATGTTGACCTTAAACATTTAACTTTAGATGTCTTATGAAACTCAATATAAAAAAAAAAAATCCAAGAATTATTAAGATTTAAGGGGAAAAGTCAATGTGTATGAAATTAGAGCTGTCTTCATATGCATTTTAGAGCATTTGACTTGCACCATGACCAAAATAGGCCAAAGGACCTCCTCAGTTCCTTAGGCAAGAAGTAGGTCAGTTTGGACTTGCTTGTCACTTGCTGTAATGTCTTTTTTGTTCCGGAGGAATAAACTGTGATAATCTTTGCTCTCTAGGAAGTCTTCAATGAGCAGCTTATGGAATAAAATGCAGGCTTTTGCGAGCTGTAATGAGATGCAGTGTGTGACTTAATGCCAAAAGCATGGTGACATGTAAACAGGCTGAGTCACCATGGCAGCAGCTCTTGAGCATAGTTTCATTCAATTTCCTCCTGGATCCTGTGGCTGAGGTGCATGATTGCCATCTAATGGGTGCTCCACATTTCTAAATTGTTCACAAGCAAGCACCAGGTCCTCTTACCCTCACCCTATCATGTCAGTCTGAGATAGGATTGTTTGTCTGATTACACATTTGCATGTTTGGAATGAGCCATTTACTTCTGTTTCAGAAAATAGAAATTATAGATGATGAAGAAAGTGATATGATAAGTAATTCTGAAGTGGATCAAATGAGTTCTCTTTTGGATTACAAGGTGAGTAATTCAGACTATGAAATGTTTAGCAGGATAGTCCTTCACAGAACGTTCTGACAGGTTTGTCTGTGAGGAATTCAGCAAAGGCGAGAGCCTGGAACTCCTCTGCTCTTACCAGAAAGTCAGTGCCACGTGTCATCCCTTCAGTCACATCTCCTCATCCCTCTTAAAGTCAGTTTACCCATATTTCAGTGCAGAGGGAAGCAGGAAAAGTTCCACTTCTACAGAGGAGCTGTGTTACTCTAGCTGTAGCCATCTGCAGCTCCCATCACGTGTCCCAAGACAAGTTTACATAGTATCTAAAACAAAACTTCATCTCTGTGCCAAAATTGTTCTTTGGAGTGCTACAGCGTGATTTAAAAAGCAGCATGATGCTTCCAGCTCTGGAAAGGGATGTAACAGCTGAACTCTTCCAATAAAATGGAGGAACTGAGAAATAAATCATTCTAACAATGTAGCACAGAACTTGTCTGTAAGTGGTAGCTGTGGGTTGGAGGAAAATCAGTTGGATATCTGACAGCTGCTGTCTTCTCCCAAATGGCAAAGGTAATATTTGTTACAACTCTCTTACAAGTTGCCACGGCTCTTTATTGTGTACTGAGCACATTTTTATGTAAGTAGATAATTTTTTTTAGTTAGAAGCAGGTATGCTCTTCTAATGATAATCAGTTACCAAAATAATGAATAGATCATCTGTTCGGAACAAAAATTACTCCCTCAAGCGGTATTTTCCTGGTAAGGGCAGTACAGAATGAATATGGATAGGGAATGACCTTTTCATAATGTCACCTGTCACCAAACTGAAAGGCTTGTTGTGACAGCATGCCCTACAGAGTCTTGTTTGTTGCTTTGTTGTTTGACATTAGTGATTAGTCTTTCTGGCTTCTGTGCATAAATCTGAATTCCATCTTTGGCCAAAATCCACTGCTACAGAAGCATCTTGTAAGTTTCCATCTAGAAGAAATACATTAAGCTGATTTTCTTATGTAAGCCCCCAAATTGAAGTTTGCTTATGTAACTATTTGCTGCCATCAAAACCAGCCAGCAAGGAACGTTTTATGTGCACCACTGCCAACCTAATTAGTCATGTGGCTGCCTAATAAGGGTGGTGCCTTTTTTTTTTTTTTTTTTTTTTTTATTCTCTCTTTCATTTGTTTTCAAAAGGGAATATTCTGCTACATTATTTGACCTTCTGTCCAAAAAACTCTTCATTATTTTATTGGAAAATGAGACCTATATAAAATGGCTTCATAGTAGAATCTCATATCTAGATTACCATAAGACATTTGAATGTTCTTCTAAAGGCATTCACTGGAAGTTTTTCCCTTTTCCCCTTCTTTCTTCCAGCTATGTACTCTATAGCAGGGATTTAGGCTTACAGGAAAGCTAGACTGTGGATTACAGGCGAGGTCTTGTGCAACAGGATGTGCAGTATGTGAGAACACAGTTTTGCCATGGAACAATCTTCATAAAACTTCAGCTAGAATTTACTCAGGGTTGTCTGTATTAAATTGTTATCTTCCATTTTCTTCTCTCAGATATCCCCTGGTAAACGCAGCATTTGCCATGAAATCTCTATGAACCTACATGCTTGCTTTGCGTGTATCATGTATAATCTTAATTCTATACAGTCATAATTCTAATGGGTATTTTTATCATTATTATTTTACAGAGGGTGTGCATTTGGTGCCACTATGCAGATATCTTTTTGCAACAATGCACAATGATTTTGTTCCTTAAAGGTGAACTGCGTGTTTAGGTTATGTGATCTTCCCAAAAGTTAATAACTAGAGAAGATTAATTTTGGTTGCTCAATAGATAAATTTAGTGTTTGGATCTTACATACCAACCAGTTGGTGAGTTTAAGGGAGAAGAGCTACTTGAAATATGCTGAAGTGTGTATCAGTCTAAATTTTTAATCCAGGTGTTTGTTATTTCTGTATTACGAAAGTGATTTGCAGGTACAGTGACATCAGTTTACATCCAAAGCTTGGAAAAGCCTTCCAACAGTTTTATGACTCTATGAAATGTCTCTTTATTCACTGTGTAGATTACTAATATTTCTCTATTCTTATAAATACATTCTTATTTATTCATTAACCTCAGAGATCCTGGGGAGGTTGATAAGCTTCTGCTCTGCAACACACAGCAAATTTGGCTGTTGTAGGGATGCTGTGTTTTAACGACGAATCCTCGAGTTAATTTCCGTGGCCTTAGTGTCAGACCTCCTGCTGTAGTGATGGAACTGAGTTGTTGCTCCGTGTCATGGGTCAGCCTGCCTTTTCAAGATCATCTCTTCTGGGAAGAGACCTAGGCTCCATTTTTCTTTATTTTAAAATGGAAGTGCTTCCTTTAAGTTTATGTACTTAGGCTTAGGTCGTTCATTCTTTAATGACTGTCTGTGTGGAACCTCTTTGGCCATTCCAGTCCTCTTTTGGAGGAGAATAAGAAAGCAGATGGCACGTGTATGTAGGTTTAGGGTGATGCTCCTGGTGGTCCATCAGGAACCTCTGTTTGTATCGAATGTCTACATGCTACATTCAAGAATTCTAGTACTGGTTTTGGCAGGAATCACAGCATGCTGATTTTCTTCTTTACACACAGAAAAGTTTGAAGTACTGGTATGTACTAAAGTGATGCCGTATAGTTTATTACTTGCAAAACTGCATGCAATTTTCCCCTTCAGAATGAAGAAGTCAGATTCATTGAAAATGAGTTGGAGAATCACAAACAGAAGTATTTTGAACTGCAGACGTTTACACGGAGTTTGATACTTGCTATTAAATCAGATGATAAGGAACAGCAGCAGGTGAGTGTCAAAGCAGATTTTAATAATGGGGGTACATGTCCTGTTGTGTTCTGTCATCTCCTTATTTTTATTCTGTAGAGCCCAGAAGCTCAAACTGTGATTAGGGACAGCAATGTGCAGAACATCTTGCAAAGAAAAGTTGGAAGTTAAATAAAAGATCTCACAATTTAGATGAGCAATGACATTAAACATTGTTCCTTTCACCAAAAGGCAAGCAGTGCAACACTGAGCAAGTTGGATTTGTCTGTTGTGAGGCCCAAGATGGATATAGGAAAAAAAGCCAGGCTTCAGTTTTACCACGCTGCATTTAATGCATAGCACTTCCTTAAGAACTTTGTCAGATCAGGTCTTGTATCTGGGTTTTTTTGGACAGATTTTGTTGCCTCTCCTTTTTCCTTTCACCTTTAGAGTCTGCAGTCTTCCGGGTGTAAAAAAAGGAACTATAACTTGCAAGAAAAAAACTTAGAACACTTTTAATTCTGAAACAAATTTTGGCTTCTAGTTTTTTCATAATTTTTTCATAAAACCGTGTGAACTAAGCTTTAAAAAAAAAAAAAAAAAAAAGTGAACTTGAATCTTTAGAGGTAAATAACTGTAGCAGCATCTGGTTCTTTCTAATGCACATTCTCTGTGTAGCACAACTGTAGATATAGTGAAGCTTTTGTGCGTTCACGGTGACCAATAAAAGAAATGGATGTAGGTCATTTGATCTCATCCAGTCTGGGGAAGAATGTTTTGAGTTGCTTCCAGAATACCTGAAAGACCCTGTGGGACTGTTGGTCTAAGTTGCATCATCTCGGTCAGTGTTTTTCTTCTCAATATCCATCAGTACCGATCTGTGGAGGTTTGTTTGTTTTCAGTCTGTCCAATGTGAAAACTGACCAAAAAGCTCGACAAAGTGGTGGTGTTTTGTTGTGTTCTTTTTGTTTTTTAACTATATGTTTAAATTACATTAATTGCTGATGTGAAAGGTAAAACTAAGACTGCATTGTAATACTTCTTTTAATTATAGGCACTGCTCTCAGACTTACCTCCTGAATTAGAAGAAATGGATTTCAATCACACATCACCAGAGCCTGATGATACCTCATTCAGCTTGTCGTCTTTATCGGAGAAAAATGCCTCAGACAGTTTGTGATTTTACTTCATTTTTTTAATTATTTCTAATTGACAGGAAGAAACCTCACATAATGTGTAGGTTTCAAGAGGACAGCATTTTGCTGTACAGTGTTCTTCAACCCAAAAAGGAAAAGCCCAAGGTGAAGTAGACCTCCCTGAAGAATGACTGTAGTACATAGTGGCTGCGGTTTGCAATATCAAGAAATGTTGAGTGTTGTTTCTGCTAAATGAAAGAACTGTGTGAGGAAATGTTTCACTTTTAGCAGTTTGGCCTTGATTAGGATAACTTCTGACTTTCCAAAATAACACTTGCTCTGTAGCAAAGACTTTTTGAGCAGGGATCCAAGAGTGGAAAACAAATGTCCTGTGACACAAACAGCCAGTTTTTCAGAGTTGCTTGCTCACTATTCCTGGTTTTAATTTTTTCCTATTTTGACTCAGGTAGGTGGACTAAAAATTGAGAATCCAAATAGAATAATGAGCTCTTTTGAGTTGTGCTTGAACTCTTTGCAGATCTGCAATTAAACTAAAGTGTGTTTCGTCACATGACTTCAGATTGTTTAATCTTAACATTTTGTGACCAAAACAATTGAAAACACTTTAAAAGGCTAACTGAATAATTCAAATCATCACCGAACTGTTGATGTACAGAATCTGTCTGTAAGCAGTTCGCCCATGAGATCATGTGGGAAACCTGGTAGCTGCACTGTGTGACTTTTCCTGAGACTCTCACAACAGCAGTGGGTTAATCAGGTTCACATGCAGTTTTATGATTCTATGAATGTAGTTATCTTTTTTTATTTGTAGAGGTGTAGTGCTGAAGTTCTGTTCATTGTTTTAAGTACCACCTACATACTTTTAACAAACCTTACTCCCTTTTATCAAGACGCTCTCTTAAATCCGTTATGCCCTGAAAGGCATTGAAGTGTTTAGAATTGAGCGTTACAGACTTTCTACATGTGACCTGGTTTTGAAGTAGCCTTGTCTGGCAAGTTTTTTTGGCACTACCACATCACAATTGTCATTTTCAAACCGTGAGCTTGATTGCAGGCAGTGGCTGGAATGAGTTTCTGCTTTCCCAGCTGTTGGTCACATTGAATCCCTTTCCTCATCTGAATAAAACGATGTGCAGACACATTTGGATGAATTTAATAGGGTTTGTAAGTGCGTGCCCATGTTATTAATGCTCTGTATCTTCTAATCTGTATATTCCTCAACAAGCATTTTCAAAACCTACTTTCACACTTTGTTAAAAAGCCCGATCTTTCAATTTTACACTGAGTAATAATACAGTCTGGCGAGTCTCTGTTCGTGCAGTGCAGTAAGTAATCCCACTGATTTCAGTGTAGGTCCTAGGTGAGGCTCACAAAATGCAGGAGTGGTGGCACGTAGGAGATGACCCAGAACATTTTTTTCTTTAATGCTGGGATTCACTCACTAATGATTTCAGGTTTTCTCCGTCTGGTCCTCCCTCATCACTCCTGCAGATTTTGTATTCTCAGGATCTGTGCTGAGCTCTGTTCTGCCATCTTTTTTTTCCAGTGTTGTACTTGGGCATGTGGGATTTTTTACAGTATTGCTAAGTGCCCGTTGCATAAAGGTTTAAAAAAAAAAAGGTTTCACGGTTCTGAAATTCTGATTACCATATAATAAGGTTAGTATGTAGTCCTCAAAAAACCTCTTACAGGGTAACCCCACAAATGGAAGCTGTTAGGCCTGCACTTAAGTTAATGTCTTCACTCAATAATAGTATCCCAAGAGAGAGAGGAGGCACTGTGCAAGCTGTGTGTGAGCTGTGGGCTGCTCACACGCTCACTGCCTCCACTGAAGTATCACAGCCTGGCTGGGAGGTGAATGCTGATATCTCAAAGGAGGAGCATTACTTCGTGTGCCTGATGAAATGACCACCGGTTTAAAAGTAATTTAGGTTTGTTAGCAAAGTTCACAGCGCTAGCCTTCAAATGTAAGGAGGAGTTCAACTGTAATTCTGCTCACTCTGATAAAAAATCTTTTACAAAGGGTTTTCTGTACTTAGTTAACAATACTCTCTGATACTGTTCTCTCTAGATAGGAAATTTCTGCCACTGACAATGAAACCTCTGTGAGCTTTGCTAAAAATTTAAAAAAAGGAAAAAAAAGGAAAAAAAAAAAAAGAAAAAAAAAGTTATTTACCATTATTTGGACCCTATTTTCCTGCTGCTTTTGCTTGAATTCCCAATGCAAACGGCAGGATAGACTTGATTTCACAGTCAGTTAAATTATCCACTTTTCTACGAGAAAATTTTAATTGATAATATCTCATATTTGCTCTGTCTTGCTTTTATTTGATGTGCCAAACAAGTGGAAGGAGTTACTTTTGAATGAACTACTGTCAGATTCAAGCACTTATGCAAGTCCCTTTGCTAAAGGGACTGGAACTGCTGTTAAGGAAGTGCAGCTAGAACGCTGGCTGCAGTCAGCACCCACACATTGTGCCTCTGGGCATGTGGTTCTTCGGTCCCCTTCTGCATGGTGACAAGCCAAAACATAGCACAGTAGTCCTGTTTTCATACCCTGAAACATTTGGCAATATTACAGCAATTCAGAAAGAAGGTGTGTAAATGATATTCCTGTATAACAGAATACAGGGGATAATAATGTACAGCTGCTTGTTCAGGTGTTTTGTTTTTCAGTGTGTATTTCCTGTCATAGGTAAAACAAAAATCTGAATGACATTTTACCACTGCTGTTTTTTTTTTCATATTGCAGCAAGAATAGTTTTGCAGTAAAGTGGTTGGAAAGCTACACACTTGCTTGGAGGTTCTGTAACATAAAACATAACGATCCCTGAGAATTGCACACAGTACGTATCTAAGTCGTGCAGATCAGACCAGCAGCACGCATGCTTTATGGCTTTGTGATTCAGGGTATTTTTTTTTTTCTTTGCCTGTGTCTCTGACAGACAAGTTTCTACACAAATGTTCTGCTCAAATTATGTCCAAATCCAGATATCCTGCATCTAACTGGGCCTTAGAACAGTGTGAGGGAGTTTGGCATTGTTGCCATCCATTTTCCTGGCCAACTTTGTCTTAGCAGTTGTGCTGACAAGCATCAGATTCTAATACAAGGGTCACCAGGATACTCATTTCTGCTCTGAAGGTGCTTTAGAAGATGGAAAATTATAGGTGATAGCTGTCTGTGCCCAGGACTTTGCTTAGGGTTTTGGTTTGTGTTTACTGCCTCTGATCAGTGGATGACCACAGAACACATCTGTATAGACTGTAATGACAGAGAAAGCTAATATTGTGTTGTGTCATGATGAAAGAAATAAGCCTTCCTTTACTATCTCACTGATAGTGACAGCAGCAGACGTGCCAGGTATTGATGTTCTCATCGTCTTTCTGCTAAGGCTCTCATTTGCTTTGTCCATGGAAGATGACTTTGCAGGTGTTCTTTATTCCTAATGCATCTGTAGGAACATGAATGATTAAGTATGTCTTTCTGAAGAAGGCGAAGTGGAAGAAGGTAGTTCTTAGGCACTTAGAAACAGGACGCTCTCCCTTCCTTAGGGAGCACTGAAATTCTTTGATGCTAGCAAGCTTGCTTATACTTCAGAAAGCTGTTTCCTGAAGCTATGCCTCTTTTCATTTCCCTGCAGATGATGCTTCTGTCAAGTCTTTAGATCTGGCAGGAGTGAGTAATAGTAAATATTCTAATAGGTAAATTTTGGCAGATTTAAAACTACGTGAACAGATGTACTATACAAGTGTCAATTTTCTTCAGTACTTAGTTCTTGAAGCAACACTGCACTTTAATCTTTCCAAGTATTTCTTTTTTGCTAAGGCAATAAAAAGTCTGAAAATGACAAGCAGATCATGGACTTTGCAGTCTCTGAGGAAGAGAAAAGGAATGTATAACTTACAGCTTCATCTTCTAAACTCGGGAAGCAGTCATCAGGTCTGCTCACCAAACAGAGGCAGCAATATCTACTGTTGTCGATACAGAGTTGAAATGATAGGGCAAATCAACCGTATCATAGCGTCTTTACTGTAGAAATCACTGCTCAGAATTCATCAGCTGTCTGCTTTGGGGTCTCTGTAGCACTGCCCTGTTAGTGATGTTGAAGATGATAATGCACAGCGCTAACTTTTCCAGAGGTACTGTAGTCGTAGCTGACTGTTGGTCTCAGGATAGTGACAGAAGACAAAGATAATATGCATAAATGGAATAGCACACAGAATATCTGAACCACGAAGAATGAGCAATTTGTAATGTTGCAACCAAAAGCTTAATTTACTACCTCCAGTCCTGCTGCCCAGATCCTTCAGATCAGCTGGGAACTACGAGGCTGCTTTATGCATGGGAGGACTGGCAGCTGCCTGACATTCAGCCTTCATTTCAGGACTCCGCCTTTTCTGCCCCATTAGCACATTGGCCAAGTGGTACCACAGAGCTCTTTCAGTGGTAGAGTAGGGTTCTACTCTTGGCTAAGGAGTGTTTGTAAGATGGTGGCTGACACAGTGGTCAGAAGACAGCAGGTGTAAAAGGGGCAGAATCAGAAGCTCGGGCTAGTGGTGGTGGTGGGTGTTGTTTGTAGACAAAGCAGCATTCATTCTCAATAAAAGATGCTTAAGAATGTCTCCGTGAGGAAAATGGTTTCAGGTCAGAGCTTTGGTTACAGTGAACGTTTTACTGTATTACTGAATGAAGTAAATATTTTCCAGTTCTGTATTTCATTTTACACACGCTACCTCTGAAACGTAACACCACCTTTAAAACCACACAGAAAATGTGAATTAAAAAATAAAATAAAAAAGCTTTTATAGGCAATAAATTATTTCCAACACACATCCTCCAATTCTGTGCCTGTTTTTTAGTTGTGTGAAACATTCAGTTTGTTTTTTGTTCTGGTACTATTTCATGTATTTGTCTCAATCTGTGGATAGGGAAATAATGAAGATGTGATGTTTGGGAAAAAAAGATTAGCGTATGTTAATGGTAGTGAATATTTCTATTGACGCTCAAGGATGGTACCGTAAATTTTTGCAGTTTTTGGTACAGCTATTATAAGAAAAGAATATTATACTTGGAAATAGCCTGGTACCAGATGGCTGATGCGATGTTTCTTAATGCACCATAGGTGAATCGATCAGCGGGGTTGGTTGGATAGTGAGTCTCAGCAGTGTAGTGAACAGGGACAGGATTGTATTTTTTCTGAGGTACGACATCTTGAAAGAACGCTCTCATATGTTAGTTTCTGGTATCTCTTCATTTTCTGTTGATTTTTTTGTAATGACCATATGTGTAAAAACCTATAGGAACAATTTCGATTTGCTTGTAAGCAAGTGTGACATTGAAATGAGTCAGGGGCAAGTACAGCTCCCATGTAAACGCAGGCCATTTTTGGGTAGCAAAAAGCAGCAAGTCCCAGTCATTTCCCCCACGTCTGCCTGTGCCTATGAACCAACGCGCCTTGGAGCCGTGGGTGGGCAG